ATATATATATATATATATATATATATATATATATATATATATATATATATATATATACATATATGTTATATTTGTATAATCTTATTATACTATGTCTATATCATAAAATGTTTTTATGTTTTAGGTTAACTAAAATAGCAACTCTACAGCTAATTGAAGAATTAATAAATTATATGCCGATTCCAAAAAGAAGTACTGCAATTCCTCCATATTTACAAGTGAATAATGGATTATTTATTTTACTTATTATTTATTTTACTTATTTATTTTGTTTTATGTTTTTCTAATTGTTATAATTGCAGATATTTGCAACACTTCATTTTCTTGCATCTGGTTCCTACCAACAAAAAGTAGGACAAGATTTTTTATCATGCATGAGCCAAACATCAATCTCTGTTTCCATTCATGTTACAATAGAAGCATTAAATAGAATTATAGGACAATGGATTCAATTTCCAGTATCACAGAGAAAAAAACAAGAAATTAAACAAAAATAAATATATTACATAGTAAGAGGGAGCATATATAGAATAAATCATTAGAAAGAGAATATCTAAATAACTGTTCTTAAATTTAAAATCCAGTGGAATTCACTTATCCAAAATTGTAAATCTTCAGAAAAAAATATGGAATCAGCAAAAAGATAGTGTATGCAATTCTAAAGAGAATTAATAAACATATTTAATGCAAATGATATTAAATTTGAAAGTAGAATAAAATATGCAAGAGAAAAGTTTTACTCCTTAAGAAAATCATTACATTCATTTCTTAAACAGTAACATTTTTTCTTAAACATTTTAGATTATCTTCAAATACAACAAAGATATTTTTGTGTTATGTTTCTCATGATTTATCCTATAAAACTGATATAATAGATTTTTATAATCTTTTAAATTAAACCTTAGATTTTTTGAAAAAACTGGATTTCCTGGAGTGATTGGCGCTATTGACGGTAGTCGCATAGCTATTTTTCCACCACAGAAGGAAAGAGAACATTTATTCATTAATAGAAAACTATATCATTCCCTAAATATGATGATTGTACGTAAAAAAAATATAATATTGTTTATAATAGAAAAATAAATAATATATGCAATTGAAATGTTACTCTATAATAATATTAAATTCCATTTGCTTTATAATTAAAAATAAAATCATTTATGCTTATATCTTGTTTATTAGGTTTCTTCCTACAGTAGTAAAATATTAGCAGTAAATGCACTACATGGGGGAAGCACACATGATTCTAGAGTCTTCCGTTCTTCGAGTCTCTTTAATCATTTACAAAAGCAACAGGAAGCTGATGAAAGAGGTTCTTGGCTTATAGATAACATATCCATTGATATTATTCATTCATTCCTTGATATCCATTGATATTATTCATTCATTCCTTATTCTTAAATATTGATTATGATTTATAAAATAATTGTTTTCATTTTATTTTATTTTATTTATATAAAATATATTATGTGTTTTAATATGCTTTCTAGGAGATGCTGCGTATCCACTCAAGCCATTTCTTTTAAAACCATTTATGAATGCTCCTGCAGGATCACCGGAAGCTAAATATACAGAACATATAGTTAAAGCACGGTCTGCAGTAGAAAAGTATTGGGATTTTAAAAGGACGATGGCGATGTTTGAGAAAAGAAAGAGCATTGCATTATCAGCCAGAATTTGCAGGTATTAAACGTATTTTTAGATTATAAGAAAAATAATACAATATCACAATATATTTACATTAAGATGTTTACATCATAACGCTTATTTCTTTCAGCGTATATTATTAATGCATGTTGTATTTTGCACAACGTTGCTATAAAATTTAACATTCCACCATATGAAATATATTTTGAAGAACTAGATTATGAGCCACCAATATGATATGATAATATTGACAATAATAATGCCGAACAAATAAGAAAAGAAATTGTTCGGTGGTATTTTGCAGAATAATTTTATTATGTTTAAAGTACATATATATCAGTAAATTGTTAATTTCCTTAATATATTAATTTATTAATCACATACCTTACATATTATTCAACGCCAACATTATAACGAACCAAATATTCATTTTTTCGGTATTCTTGAAAAAAATAATTTATTTTTAACAAATATTAGAAGTACATCTATATGAGTTTGTTTAAATTATTAAATAACAAAAAATAATTCTTGACAAATACAATTTATGCAATTTAACTTACTTATTTAACTCATACTTACTTATACACATTATAAAATAAAATATTGCGATATGATCATAGTGATAGATTACATATTTTATAAATATATAAAATCTTTTTTGAGGAGTAATGAGACTAGTTGCAGAAAAATTTATATTTTTTGCAGATTTTCATAGATTGATGTGGTTTTCTTCATGATAGTCTTCTTGATGAAATACACATGGAGAAAGCTGCAAATAAAAAGCTTTACGGAAAGATAGTTCCAGACAAAAAATAAATGTTTCCAATGATATATCCCTAGAAATTGATTATGTCACAGTGACACCACAGCAAAGTCATGGTAACATGCGAATATCTGCTTTGTCACAAGTATAATATCGCCATAATATTATTATGATATGAAATAATATTTCATATCATAATGATCTCATAGCAACATCACACTATGATTTCACTGTGATGTCACTATAACATAATCGATTTCTATGCTATAGAGGTACTCTGAAGCGATATATTGATTTTACATGCAAAATCTTTTTTATAACTAGCCTCATTATTTACAAAATAGAGCACGTCTAAAATAAAAAGAATGTATCTATAACATCCTGGTTGGTTGTGACTTCAACGTTTTTTAGAAACAACAATGAACGAAAATTTTCTTCTTAGCAATGAACAGCTTAAACGAAATGCTTGTTGAAAATGCTTAAACGAAATTGCAGTCTTGAATAAGATCAACTGAATAATAATACGTGCAATGTTTATCACGATATAAATAATATAACGTTAATTGTTTTAAAATTCTTTTTCTAGATATTGCCCAACTAATTCTTCTCGCAAAGATGATAATAAGCCATTAATATTTTGTATTTTTTGCAAGATTTCCTTATTAACGGTTAATTGCTCCTTCATTATTTCTAATTTTTTTTCTTTTAATTTCAATATTTTTATTTTAATGGTCTCGGATGTGGAAGATTTCTTTTCTAATAAATTAATTGCAGTTGCCATAAGTCGTGGTTTTTTTACACCTAAATAATGTATAAAGAGTTAATTATAAAATATTAGTATTAAATGTTATAATATATTTAACGTACCTTCTGAATATTTTGCAGTTATGTGTTCCTGTGTATTGCCCGAAAAACTTGCTATCTCATCTTGTTCCTATAAATTAAAGCAATTACTAGAAATAGTATTAAAAATCTATAATATGATCATTAAAAAAATATTATACTTAGCATATCTATAAATAACATATCTAATAATGTTTTATACATACCGAAATATTTTCTTTATTTTCAATTGTGCATATATCCTCTGTGTTTCTTAATGATGAATCAAAATATTTCTCTCTTCCTGTATTTGATTGGATACTTTGAGACAATTGTCTTTTCTGTTTCATACAAGATTGTAATAAAATGGAACCTATTGAATCCTAATAAGTAGAAAAAATTTATTTCATATATTAATTAATATTTCTAACATAAAACAATACTGTGTGTGTGTACGCGCGCGCGTGTGTGTGTGTCATTGTAGGAATTTTTCATTTATATATTCTAACTTTTTTATTAGTTTCAAATTGTGCATGTTTCTCGTGTAGATCAAGAGATCGCGTTCTATATGAATCCATCTTCGAAACTTCATTTAAAACATTTTCTGTTTCATTCAAGAAATTTTGCGTTTTGTCTACTTCGCTATTATATGACAAAGCAGCAGTTTTTTCATTATTAGAACTTAACATTATATCTTCAATTGCACCTTCAGGTATTCCTACAAAGCCACTGGCATTTGGTGTCAAAAATTCTATTAAAGATGTTTCTACAGCACTTAAATGTAAATGTTTCGGTGAACCACCACCAGTGCCCATCATATAAGTTTTATGCTTTGCAACTTTTTTTAAGGTATTACACTTCCAATCTCTTCATGTCTAAAGAAACAGAAAAAGAAAGTAATAAATATCTTAATAGCACAATTTATTGACGATACATTAGTTCAATATGGTTATATTGACTTATATTGGATGAACATTGCTCATTATGATACCAGCCAGACAGCCAAATCTGCAGAAGTAGATTTTTTGTAGTATTTGCTATAGATTTTGTCAACAACTTATTAGCAGAAATATAACAGGATTTGTTGGCATAACATAATAGATCTATCTACGACAGATTAATCTATTATTATGCTCTGCTAGGAAATTATTAAGTATTAAGGTACTTAATGTGAGCAATACAAATATAAATACAAATATACATACAAATTTAACATAGTAAAAAAAATAAGAAGCAATAAATTTAGCTTGTAATTTTATGTCTATATTATAAATACCTCCATTATAAAAAATATTATACAATATAAAAATTACCTTAGCCCATTCTTTAACAGATTTGTGTGGTCCACATGCCGCAGTATTTAATATTATAGATAATTTCTCCCAAAGTTCATCCTGTATATATTTAAACAATATATATATATATATATACACGCGAGCCACGCTCGCCTTTACGTCCGCTTAGGACTTAGTCGCTGCCAGAGACGCAGCATCTTCACGCGAGCCACGCTCGCCTTTACGTCCGCTCCGGACTTAGCTGCTGCCAGGGACGCAGCATATACACGCGAACCACGTTCGCTTTTTCCCCGCTACTGAAGCCATATATATACTTGTATATATTAAAAAATAAAATAACTTATGTGAAGAAAGCATATTTATAGGGAAAGCATATTTATAGAGAAACATTATTTATAAATAAATAATTACCACATAGGAAAAATAATTTACTTTTATATTTATTTATAAGCAACATATAATAATACTTACAATTTTTCGTTTATTTTCGCTATTGTATCGTCGTAGACGTCCTCGACCAAAATCAGGATGATTTTTCATAAAACAAATTAATATTTCCTTTTATTTTTCTGTTACGTTCATCTTTTTCACTGTGATTGAATTTCTTGCTATTTTTATATAATTTCGTATCAATAAGGGTTGTTTCTTTTGCGCTTTGTATACATATGTGTTCTAAGTTTATTCTTTATTCGTATGCGTAATATTTCATTTTTTACTCCCGTGAGTATAGGGATATCGCATTTTCACTTTGAACATAACCAATCGCGCGTATTTTTTCATGTAAGATGAAAATGCGAGAAGTGAAGACATTCGACAGAGATACACAATTGACCCCCAGGTCAATCGAAGCGGCGGCCCTGCGGTGATGCACCGCTTCCCAGCGCCTCCGCGCTAGGAGAAGTCCCTCTTGTCGGAGGAGTAATGAGAATCGTAACGTCGCGCGGGCGACGTAGACTTAGGCGCGAGGGTAACTCGCGCATGTAGTCGCGTATGCGGCGAGTATGGCTTCAGTAGCGGGGAAGAAGCGAACGTGGTTTGCGTGTATATGCTGCGTCCCTGGCAGCAGTTAAGTCCGGAGCGGACGTAAAGGCGAGCGTGGCTCGCGTGGAGATGCTGCGTCTCTGGTAGCGGCTAAGTCCTAAGTGGACGTAAAGGCGAGCGTGGCTCGCGTGTATAGGCTGCGTCCTTGGCAGCAGAGTTACTGAGTACAACGACGACTCGCGCGGAGTCGTGAGCTCGACCGTAATAAGTTCTGTCGGCGTTAATACCCGGTATATGCAATATGAAAGAAGTCACGAAGAGAGACGTCCACCGCGGTGAAAGCGTCAAGGTAATCTGAAGCGATCGCGCGAAGCCTTCTCTCAATCCTCGATCGTATTGAGAAGGTGGAGATCCGTGGAGTTACCATACACTTCGTAACACAAACGCCAACGTGTCCTCGGACACTCTAGAGGCGATAGCCCAAGGTGTAATCGCACTCTAAAGGGCTGCGAAGACCTAAACCCGAATGCCAGCGTGTCGGTGACACTCTGAAGGCAGCGATGTTCAGTGCAGATATGCACACGTATACCTCTGGCGAGGCAGGTGCCCAACGTGCTTACGCACTCAAGAAGGCGATATGAAGCTAACTAGAGTACAAAAGAATACTTCAGCGAGGCAGTGACCAGATGCAATAACGCAATCAGAAGGCTTAGAGTCGTCGCCCGCTGCGTCTTATATAGGCGCCGCACCAAAATTTAATTGCGAGCGGTAGTCGCCCGCGCGCGGAACGCGCCTGGCGCACGGCCGTCCGCCGCCCGCTATCCGTGCGGACGACAGCTCCCGTACGAAACAGACTCTGTACGCGAGTTCTTCTCTCTACGCGAGATAGTACACAAATTTAATACAGACATAAATGATGTTGCAATATGATGCAATGATGTCCTTCGCAATATTTCGGTCGAATCTATAGTCAACTTAGCTTTTTTGCCGAACGGACAAAGTTCTCGTTTAAAATTTTTAGCTATGATCTGTGCAAGTATTGTGCTATGTTATGGTAAAAGACATTCGTTCCTTACGCTATAACGTCATATTGTAATTTTTCTACATCTTTATATATGTTTAAGGTGTTGCACTTACATACAGGTCAGTACGACAGGTTGCCTCGTCGGCAAGCGCGCTTTCTTTCCTATGAAAATTACTGCGTTTAAATGCGCGAGTAACAATTTCGCTAAGGTCTACTATGACACGTTACGCATGCCTGCCGACAAGGCAACCCGTCGTATTGACCTGTTTATAAGTGCAATACCCTGGACATGTATCTACGTGGTGAAATCTGTCAAATTAAAATCAGTTTTG